GTGCTGAGTTGGTATAGCCACTGTATCATCTCATTACACCTGATGAGTCCATGCATTCCATCAACATACACCACTATCTCACCAACAGCTATTGGAATAAAGGATTTGATTATTTATTTATTTATTTAGCTGTTATTATTTTATTTATTTATTTATTTAGCTGTTATTATTTTATTTATTTATTTATTTATTCATTCTATTAGTAGTTGCAATCCCTGCTTACCTTTCAGTATGTATTGTTGAAAGGTGGCATCAGCATCTCTTGCTACAGTGATGAGTGCGTCCATTCCTTGGTTAGCAACAAACTCCATTACCAGGTCAGCATCATCCTACATGAATAGACATGTTCACCATTAAAATACTGCAGGAAAACAATTGTATATTATGAATTTCTAATTCTCTTCCTTCATGTATATCAAAAATGCATTATTGAAATGATACTGTAAAAAACAATTTTTATCTTATAAATTCTAATTCTCTCCCCATATCACACATTCCCTGCATTCCACACAGTCTGGAGAGTCAAAGGATCATTAACCCATCACATCTGCAGGCAGTATATTATGATGCTGTGGTACATGATGAATATAAAATACTTTTAATATTATGTAAAATGAGAAGACATGATTCACATTCCAATAACAGAATAATTAACATTCCAATCATACCTCAACTATACATGTACATAATATGTACATTAGGAAGCAGCAGCTACAGTACATGTAAAATAATAAAAGGTATACATGTACGTGTACATGTACTGTGCATTGTATTTCTTTCCCTCTCTCTCTCTCTCTCTCTTTTGAAGATTGATATATAATTAATGATGTGTATGTACACGCCTAGTTTTATGTCATAACAAATAATTAAAATAAATTCATTTTAAATATAATCCACATTGTATCTGTATGTAATGACACATTGTCTTATCATTACTATTATTATTGACAGTTATTATTGTATTATTATTGTATTATTATTGTATTATTATTATTGTGTTAGAGTTTAAAAGGTTATAAAGATGAAAACAACCCAGACATCATAAGGAGTGCAGAGTATAAATAAAGGTACATATTAATAATACTCATTCCTACTTTTGACTAAATTTGGTTGCAACACAGCATAACTGCATCTAACACAAAGCAATCATGTGACAAGTACATATACATACATGTACATACAACACTGCTGTCTGTACTAATACTGCTGGCTATATACATGTAGCTATAGGTATAAGTCCATTCATGTACTGTACAATCGTTTGTCATTATTATTGACATCATTTGTCACAGCAGTGATGATGTCCTAGTGCAGATTCTTCAATCCTCTTGTGGTTTCTGTATGTGAGGCTATTATCTAATTCTCATGGCCACAAAGAGAGCTACAGTCCAGCTTCAGTACAAAGGACATTATACCTTATCCTTATAAACAGAGTCACACACCACAACTGATACTCATTTATAAGTATCCTGGATATAATGTACATGTATCCTGAATAAGTATCCTGGATAATGATACTGATATTGACTGAATGAATGCTTTGTCTATGCATGACCATAGTCCATTGAAGAGGCATGGGAAGATGATGATAAATAAACACACACACACACACGCAATTAATATAATTAATAATAATAATATAATGAATTAAGAGGATACATTACTAAAGAACATCGTGTACATGGGGAATAGAGTAAATGACTCTGTGGGTGTGTGTGTGTGTGTGTGTGTGTGTGAGTGTGTTGTGTGAGAGAGTGTGTGTGTGTGTGTGTGTGTGTGTGTGTGTGTGTGTGTGTGTGTGTGTGCATACCTGGAACATTCTCTTGAGTGAGAAGAGTGCTTGACGTAATGTAGTCCTTTCAGCGTTAAATAAAGTTTCTGGATAAAAGAGAAATTTAAATAAATCAAGGACATCAATATGTATCAGAAAATGTAA